GACGTACCGCTCTTGGGAGGTTTTACTGTATATTGCAAAACTTTTATTAATTAAATTTAAACATGCTTTTTAAGTTCGATTTATTAATAAAACTATTAGTTAATAACAAAATTGTTATATAAATGAAACTATAAATTATATGGGACATAAATTAATTTTACAAACAAAAGACTTCAAAATAGAATCCGATATAATTATTTTCAAACTCTGTTAAGTTGGTCGAATCAAAAAGTATTAAAGATAAATCCTGAAATGTCAAAGATATTTTTTGTAAATAATTCTTTTATAGTTCGAAGCTTCCATTGCTATTTCAATTTAATCAACAAATAACTTTAAAGTCAAATTTTAGTCATATGGTATTATATATATATAGTTACTAAAGTTATACATTTAAGTTTTAATTAAATATAATACAGTATTTATTATTTGTATTGGAAACAAAAAAAAGCTGCTTCTTTTAAAATATAACAAAACACAATAGTAAAATGTATTATAAAATTTAACACACAATTAACCACTTGAGACTTTTTTTGCATAATGCAAATTTTGAAATATCTTTCTTAACAATAAAAAGTTATTAAGTTCATTAATAAAAGAAGTAATAATACTGAATAGTAAAACAAATAGATACCACTGAGATTAAAAATGCCGAACGAAGTGACCAGACAAAACAACAGAACACACCAAAATAGATTAAAAATAATGGGAGTTTCATCTTCCGAAATCAAAAGTATAAAAAGGTAATTACAGAACTATATCATTTAGTTTAAGATATAGTTTTTGTTTAAAAAAACAAAATGTGAAACTAAGCAAAATATACAAATGAGTGAGAGCAAGAGCTCAGACGGATATAGTCAAAGTGGAAATTCAGGATACAGCGACGACACTGACGAGAAGAGTAAAACTGACTCTAAACCCGCTCCAAAACAAGAAACAGATGACACCAATACTGACGATGATGACACAAGCGATTTGGCCACAACTGACACCGACGACTCTTCTGATGGAAGCGAAAACAAACTGATGCTCACAAACCTGATGAAAGAATACTCTGAACTCAAAAGAAACACTTTTGGTAAAATCGAAAAACTTGAAAAGCAGAATGCAAAATTGACTTCCGATTTGGCTGAGTCGAAAAAGTTGAATGACATTCGCAAGGACCAAGCACTGAAAAGTGCAGAGTCTGTCAAGAAGGTTGTTGCCGAGTTGATTAAAATGAAAGACGAAAAGACTGAACTGGTCAACCAAATTGAAGACGAAAGAAGAGCACACGCAGACACTATCAAACAACTTCACTTGGCCCAAAGTCAAATTAGTAGTGGGATGACTTCGGTGCCAACAGACATAGAACTTACTCTAAGACTAGCACTTGATGGGTCGAAAGTGGCTGAAGCCATTTTAGTGAAGAATGTTGATTCGGAGAAGGACGACTTACGAATGCAACAATCACTTTTGGAGAAGAAAGTATTATCTCTTGGACAAGACATTGTATTATTGAAACAAGAGTTAGACACTAACAAAGACACATCAAAGAAGAACGACGAACTACAGAAAAAGGTCGAAGACTTACAAAAGAAGAACACGGACTTGGAGGAAGCACAGAAGAAGATCAAAAAAGAAAACGACTTGCATAAGAGACGAGGAAGTTCAGCCAGTTCGACACTCTCAATTAAAGCCGAAAGCTCTGAAGCTACACTGAAACTGAAATCATTTGCAGAAGACCTTTTGAAGACTTTAAGAACAATCAGTGTGCCCGACGATATCTTGGAACTGCTCGACTCGGTCGAAGAGATGACTAAAGACCAAGTCTTCCATCGACTGATGTTCCATTCGATATTCACAAAGTGCAAACGCGTGTTAAATCCGTTGTACATACAAAATGGGTATACAACCGATTCTGCGATATACTCATTGTACACGCCAACCATTTACCCAAGCTTCGAAAAGAAGCTTCAAGACGAGTCGTACATGAAAACATTTGAAAAGCTCGACTACAATTTCAAGGGGTATAATATTGTGATGAAAAATGTGATTCAATTTGAAGAAGAATTCAAGAAGAAGGTTTCAATCCGGTCATCGGACGACTCCAATATCGTGTCCAGAATGTCTGTCTCTCGCCGACAACGCAAAGGGGCGGAATTTTTGAGTGGAAATTACAACAACGCACTGATCTTCCCCAGTTCAAAAGGTGGGTCGAGCTCTTCTGGTGGTGTTGTTGGAAATGATGTGACTTCGAGTGTTGGCGAAGCGTGTCGTGAAGCTGAGGACATAGAACGCAATTTGAATGAAGAGGAGCGGAAGGCTTGTTCGGTGTCAGAAGAGAACAAAGATATAGTTTCCAATGTGTTTTACACTGGAGACTATGTTTGTGTGTGTTCATCAAATGACCAAAGCAGAAGTAAATTGTCGTTATATCCACTGACAGACTGTGAGCATGCCACAATGACTGTAGACGTCGAATTTGTCGTCACTGCTGTGTATGTGCACGATAAAACGGTGATATGTGGGAGTGATAATGGACTTGCGTGGTTATATAAAGACAATTTGGGTAATAAAGTGAACATCGACATAGCACTCCCAAGCAAAATCGTGTTGATTGGGTCGTTGACAAAAAACAAACGGGACATCTGGCTCTTGTCAGAAACGGGCGAAATTGTCACATACAAACCATCCAAAAAAGACTCTGACATAAAGCGAATAGCACCAAAGTTGGTTGGTTCTGTAACATGTGGGTGTGTGATGGATAAAACATTGTATATTGGGACATTCACTGGTGTTTGCAAAACCGAATTTCCGCCAAAGTCGAAGAGCAAGTATGTATCGATCAAAGAGATTATGATCGGGAGCGTCAATGCTATCGCAAGTGTCCAAGACACTCTTTATGTTTGTTCCAAAGAGAAGAATCACATATTGGTGATGCGCAAAGACAAGCAAATCAGTTCGATTTCCATCGAAAAGCCCATGTCGCTCTTCCCGTTCTTAAACGATATGTGGGTGGGATGTGCAAACTGTTCAATCAAAGCAATCGACAATGAAACCCTTGCGGTCACCGAAATGACTGAGAAGAGTGCAACAAATGACAATTTAGTCCTTGGCACCATTCAAGAGGCCAGAGAGACCCAAGGCCTTCGCACCTCCTACTTCTTGTACTACAGTGACAAAGACGTCTTAAAACGTTTCCAAACGCCTTATTATGTCCATCGATATATCATTAACAACACAGAAGGTATTTGCCTCAATTGCCATGGAAAAGTTCACAAAGCTCAGGGACTTACTTGCGCCTGTTTGTTTTTTAGACTCATCGCGATTGGATTAAGAAATACTAAGACACAGATTGTGGTGTGTTCTATCACTCAGACTGTTTCAATGACTCCACTGGCTTTGTCAAGAGTGTGTGCTCAAGAGATGAAACAAAAAGGGTGAAGCCAAAGTCCTCTCCCCCAGCCCAACGGCCACCAATCAAAATCATTACGACTGAAAGCAAGTCCGATCCAAATGGCAGCCCAAAGTAATTCTTCAAAGAGTTGTTTTCTGTGCGTTTTGAGGAGGTCAAGCTATAATGTATGGTTCTTTTTATTACTTTCATTCTGTCCCTCTACAATAAATAAACTATATATGAACTATTTGTCTTCAACCACCCAACCCTACTTTTTAGTTCAAAATGGGCCAAAAGTATCGGCGATTTGTGCCATTTGAGTACAAGGGGAGTACTCTAGTATTTTAAATAATAAAAGAACCATAAAAATTGATAAATACAAACAGAAAAGAAAAAAAAGGCTATTACAAAAGGAATAGAAAAATAGTAAAAGATAAGTAAAAGAATAGAAAGAACCCTAACCTGATTAAAAAAAGTTTGAACACTGAAAATTTGCCATTCGACATGAGAATCCCAACAAAGCACATCAGAGACGTTTACAGACGCTTGTTCACTGCAGGATGTGTCGTTTGCGTGAAGGATTTCACTTGCATTCACCCATACTTCAACATTCCAAATCTCCAGGTATTCATGTTGATGAAGGGCCTCGTCTCCAAGAAACTCGTTAAAGAGACTTGCAACTGGAAGACCTTGTACTGGACAATCAACGACGAAGGAATTAAGTATTTGAGAGCCAAGATGTGCTTCCCAGAAGACGCCGTCCCATTCACACTCAGAGAACCAGTCGCAACTGCTGCCGTTGCTCACGACCAGGCTAAACAAATTCAAGGCGAAAGAAAGTTCAAGAAGGCTGTCCCAGCTGAGAAAAAACCAGAGTTCAAAAAGGACTAAGTAATTGAAATCGTGTTGACTTGGTTTTATACTTCTTATTATCATTTTCGGTGCTTACTTGTCCCTTTACTCTGTCTTTTGAGGGTGTTCGGAGGGTATGCTGACTCTGGTTTTCTTGTTAATACTTTTTCTATATATTTTTACTATTTCAATTCCAGTGTTTTACAAAACACCTTTCAATTTTGTTATTCAAACTCTTCCCTTTTTTCGTCTTTTTTGTTTGCGCTTTAACCTTAGAACGCTGATTCAAATCTACTTATTTTCTATCCCTTCCTTTGGGACCAACTGGAAAATACTATTTATTATTTCTTTTTAAACAAAAAAAATAAAATCAACAAATAATCAAAACCATACTTATTTTTTTTACAATTGATACATATTGCGTGGAAGTGTCCATAACAACACCAAACATTAAATCCTTTATGGGAGCAAGTAATGCATCTGAATTCAGTTATTTTTACATAAACAAAAGTGTCCAAACAATCAGTTTCATTGTTTAAATGGGTGTTTTTTTAATTACCATTCTGAGTGTTCAAAGAATAGTTCTTTATTGAAGTCGGAATCCTTTATTGAACCAAACGTCTCCAATTTTTGCTTTTCAGTATTTAGAGATCAAACTGGTATTATTAGTAATTTTTTAACAAGAAAATAATAATTGTCGAATAAAATAGTTTTTGGTATCATTTGGTTAAGTTATTCCTTAATTGGAATTTAAATTTTTAATTTGGCAAAAATAATTTTTGGTAAAAAGTTATAATTAACTAAAATGTTTTTAAATTGGGAATAATAAACTTTTTTGAATTGAATTGTTTAATTTTTAATACAAAAGGCAATCCACTATAAACAACAAACATAATTAAAATCATTAATTAATACATATTATACAAACGATGATTGTCAAACCCACTTTTACTGTAAATATCTTATAATATCAATGTCAATTTAATATGAATATAAAAAACTCAGAGTGTGTTAAGTGTATTTTACATTTTATTTTTTTATTTATAAATTGTAATTATAATGACATGTTGTGAATGTACCACATGTTGTTTCATGTTACTTATTACAATGATAAACTCAAACAATAAATAATGAAATGTAATTTTAATAAAAATGTGTATTTTTTGTTGTTAACTTTACGACGACAGGGAAATCGATTTAATATTTAATGTGCATGTGTGTGAGCCACAAATCAGAACCCAAAATTTGTTGAAACTTATGATATTTTTTCGATTTTCATTTAAGCTTTCTGTTTGGTGTTATATATTTACACACTTGAAACTTGTCAAGCTTAATTTTAAGCTGTTTTCAAAATGAAAGTGTAGCAATAAAAGTAGAACCTTATACACCAACCAGTGTGATTAAATAATTGAAAATTGGCATTTGATGGGTCCCATTTTACAATATTGTGAGTGTTGTGGTGTTAACAAAATAAACCCGTTTACTGTTGAGTCTTGTAATATGAAAAATTATAAAATGATAGTCAAGAACAATTATTGTATATAATATCTCACTTATTAGTATTTATAAACAAATGGTTTTTGAATGAAAAATGAGCATATCCAAGTAGTTACATTATGAAATAAATAAAAATTGTTTTTATTTGATTTTTCTTTTCAACAGAATATCAAACAGATTACACAAAAATTATAATTAATAATTGACAAAACAATGTCATTAACGGTTGTTATTCAATGTAATTTTTATTTAACAATCAAAGTTATATTAAAAATATCATATATGTGTTATTAATTTATTTAATCATATAATCACGTTGATAACTTTGTTATGTGAATTTTTGAAAACACTTTTTTTTAAAAGTTAATTAATTTGTATTTTTCTGCTTATCAATAAATTATTTTTGTGATAAATAGTTTTAAATATTAATATACTGAATTTTTTATTAAATACAGCTTTTATTGCCAAAAACGTGTGGTATTCACCAAATAAATTATTGTTATTTCCATATTTATTACATATTTACAATATATTGTTAATTGTGTTTTTCTTGTTTTTGGATTAAATATGTCGAGTCTGTGAAATACACACATAAATATTATTTACATTTTTAACCTTTTATGTGATACATCGATGTTATTATTAAACATTCAAAACAACATTAAATATATCAATTGTTGTGTATTGTCTAACCAATGTGTTACACTCTTTTGTTGATTTTTGTTAATTCCCGAAGCAAGTGCCGCTCAATAGATAACACCGTTTGTATATTTGACGTGATTTAAATATGTTATATCAAAATGTGAATTCAATCGAGCAAATATTTCACAAGATAATTATTAAAAAAAATAAAATTGATAAAATCGTGTGGATAATTTAAATTGTAAAAAAATAATTAAAAAACAAATTTGATTTTTTATCCTTTTTGAAAATATAGACATAATTAAATCATAACAATTAAATTTTTCTGCTTTTTGATTGTTTTATATTTTTTGGTTATTCAAAGTATTTTTTTGAATAAAAAAAATTATGATGACTTATTTTATGGTTTAGAATAATTATGTTTTTAAAAATGAAAAAATATTATTAAAAAATAGTTTTTAATATATATTTAAATGGTAAAAACTTGGTGACGTGGGTATTTTCGAGTAAAAAATGGAGACGCCTGATTGAACTTATCAATTTGGGTTAGTTAGTTAGTTTGGTTAAAATTAATTTTTTGTCAAAAATTATTATATTATAATATTGATAAAATATAATTAACATTAAATAGTTAATTTTTATGTTAATTATGTTTAATCAACATCTGTTTTTTTCATAATTAAAAAAAGTGGATTAAAATCAAATCCTATAATTTTTATTATTTTTTCCAGTTCCTTCTTCCTAAGGTTAAAAAATTACTTTGAAGCAATGCGGGCAAGTCGAAAAACATATTTTAAAATATACTATCTTTTTTTATTATAGTAACTATATAAAAAATAAAAAGGAAACTATGCCACTTGACAAAACGAAGAAGACTTTCCGTTAGTTAGACTTTTTGTCGTTCTCTATTTAAACTCTGAAAAGAAGGTGAAGGACAACAATGTGCGTTTTAATCTTTGTGCTTTTCGCGTTGGCTCTTGCCGAAGAATCAAGTTCAAACACTAACCACGTGGCTAAAGACCCCAAAGAAGACGAAAAGCAAATTGCTATCATCGTCGCTGCACTCTTTGTTGGCTTTTTGATAGTGTGTGCTCTTCTTTTAACAGTGGTTGTCATTATCAGAAAAATCCTCAATAGTAAACGCGACAAAATTGATAATAAAATCGACGAAGAAGAAATGCAGTCACCACCACAGAACAATGACCAAAACACTGAAAAACAAGAAGTCGAAGTCAAAGTTGATTCTCCAACAAATAACACCGAAAAGTCACCTGAAAAGTCCTCTTCTAGTGAATCAAACTGATGTTTTAATTGATCAATGTGACTGTTTTTATTCTTTTTTCAGAATTGTTCACAAATGTTGAAACAATTTTAATGTAAATTACAAATAACAAATTGTTTGTCAAAAAAAGAGGTGACTTATTGATTATTGTAAATTGTTATTTAAAACACAAACAAACATGTGATAATAATAAATCATAAACAAAAGTAAATGTTATAATTGTCAAGTTGTCAAATTAATGTCTTGTTTATTTTTAAAAAGTTTGCATTTAATAATTAACATTCATTGTCATTCGATTGTAAATATTTGTGGGAGTGTTGTTGTAATATAATTATTATTATTATTATATTATTATTTGTGTAATAATAAAAATGACTTGTTTAACCGGCCGACAAGAACATGGTTCGTAAAAACAAACCAAATTTTGAAATCTCGGCAATTTGCCACATAGTTTTACCAATCATGAAACAATTTTCTTATTTTAATACAATTTTTTTATCATTGAAACGAACTCTTTTTGTGTTGTATTATTTTTCTTCTTGTGTTATTTCTTTTTTTTGTTCATCTTTTCCCGACTCTTTGGTGTTTTTATTGTGAATTTTATTTTTTTTGTCAAACAATAATAATTTTTAATTCATTTGAAAATTTAATAGGATACAAAATTATAGTTTTACAATATAGTTTATCAATGATTAAATACATTATTTTAATAGTAAGTTTAACTATTTAAGTAATCTATTTAAAACCAACAAAAAATCATTCTCAAAAATAATAATAAAGTTACTATACAATTAGTCGACTTACTTTTTGCTTTATGTTCATTTATTTGTCAGAAAAATAATTATTTGTTTTGGTAATATTCGCGAGAATTGATTATTATTTTCGCGACAACCAGAAATCAATTCATAACAACTCCTTTTGCTCAGCTAACACATTCAATGAATACCGACGGCTTTCCAAGTACACACATTCGTTTAAAGCACTTAGACTTATATGGTTTTATATTTATAATATTATATGGTTATTTTGTGGTTACTTTTTTTTTTTGTTCATATTATGATAATTATTTATGTGTTGTTTTTACAAGTATTATTTTACTATTCAAATTGTATTATTAACCATATTATAAACCATTAAATTAACACTGGCACCCATTATTTTTCTTTTTCAGTGTTTTATTGATCTGAAATAAAAATAATCAGTCAATTGGGTCTTCGAGCGAAAGAAGTGTTTTTTCTTTTAAAAGAAAAAAATTACTGGAATTTTGGATCGTCATGTGTTCGATTTAAGTGATTGTTTTGTTTATTTTTAGAAAGGGGGAATGAAATGGTTCGTAAAAACGAACCATGTCCTTGTTGCCGGCACAGAGGTGTCCGTGTCGGCCGGTTAATGAAAAAAATGGTAAAACAATTATTTCAACCCAACTTATAACAATTCAAAAAAAGAAATGTTATTGCTTCCCCAACACCTTTGTGATGAGTTGTTTTAAATACGACGACGCAGGCTCATAGATAAATTCCTTTTTAGTGATCTTACTGAGTTCGTTGCCTCGTTTGATTTCCAACTTCTCTTTCGTTTCAATTTCTTTCATTTTGTTCGTGAGTCTTGCACAGAGTTCCTTCATCAATTCCTTTGTATGTGGCTTCATTGTAGCAATTCTCATCATCAGTTTAGTGGCTTCCGCAAGAATTCTGATTTCAGTGTACTTCCTCATTATTTCTCCGATAACCTCTACCACGTTCTCGATGTCTCCATTTTTAAACTCTTGATACGAAGCGTTGTCGTTGAACAGAATGAGTAACATGACGCACACCTTCTCCACCATTTCCAAAAATGGTGGGGACTTATTTGATGCTTTCAATAAGTCGAGTATATGTCTCACACAATTGTACTTCACAAACATCACTCTGAACCATCCGCTCTTTCGAATTTGTTCGTATAGTTGTTTCGTACCAATCTGTACTTCTTCAAGTCGCCTCCTTTCGATCATCCGAATATTAGAAAACGCAATCTCTAAGATGCTTCTCTTCGACGTTCTCAGATATTCATACAACTTACCACTGTTACTCTCCTTCCCTCCAAACGACATTCGTGTGGTTTTATTTAAAAAGATCGAATTCACTACAATCTCTTGGGGCAGAATCCGTTGCGATGGACTTTGTAACATCTTTGTGGGGCTTTCGGAAACCTTTCTTTTAGGTTCTCGTGGCTCCATCTTCTCCGAGTGCATCACACGATACAAATCACATGAGTATGACAACGATTGAAGAACTTCGTCGTCCAAATCCAATCCATATTTCACAATTAAAGCTCGACATATGCCTTGAACGGGTTTCGACTCTTTCTCAACTTCACGAAGGTATTTACACCTCATATAATGCTCTTCTAACGGCTTTGTGACTTCTTGGCGAACTAAAACACCCCGCAAGATGCCTTCCGCCTCACACGAATAGCATTCCAACTCCTTGAACCTCTGCGAATGAATAACGCGCCTCCACTCACTTTGGACATTTTTACTACTTGAAACAATGTCGTTGTATTCTCGTGTATACAGAACACTTTTAGAGCACTTCGATGCGTTCTTTATACCTTCCAATTGACTCTTAAAGTTTTCGCAAAGTGTTGTTCCTCGCATAACATTTTCGACATTTTTGGTATTAGAATATCGTTTATTGAAACTGTCAACAGAAATGGCTCTAATAATGCTTTGAACATCAACTACACTATTTACGATGTCATAATATTTGCCGCGTCGTTGAATAAAGTTGATCCCGGTCATTGCCTCTTTGAACCAACAAGTGTACACAACACTCTTTAATGCGTTCTGCGGCTCGAGAACATTATGAATGACAGTGTTGTATGAATTGCTCCACCTATTGCGTCTTATGACACTTTGGATCGCTTCACTCATTTTCCGTTGTAACTGATAGTATAACTTCATTTCCAACGTTCTGATAACACTCGAAACTTCTCCACTCGCATTGTCAAACTCGTTGAACTCGTTCTTGTGGCAGATGCCTCTAAAAAGACCTTCAGTGTACTCCGAAAATAGACACAAATCTCTGAAAGAAACCTTTTGGCACTCGGAACGCATGACTAATTGAAGATATGCACTCCTTTCAACAATCGCGTTGTACTTTCTCTCAGCAACAAATCGTCTAATTTCAGAAGACGCAAACACTTGGCTTAAAGAGCTTTCCAAATAGTCGTGGTTCTCCATAACACACCTGCAATTCGCTTGTGAATCAACAGAACAGAAATTTTGCTCATCATAAAAGTCTTTGACCAACACTCTCCTCAACACACTCTGGACTTCTTTGACTTCCTTTACAAGTCTTCCAATATCATAACTCAGTGTTTTGCCCCTCAAAGAACTCTGCACATAAGGCGTGACAATTCGCATCAACTTAAAATCAGACGAGTGCAACAGTTTTCCCATAGAACTAGCTGTGTTAACAGACGCTTCGACAATTTCTTCAAATCGCATCTTTTCATTTTCCTCTCTCGCTACACTTTGCACCAGTTTCATGTTAAAGACGACATTCTCAAAGTGACGTGAAAACAAATTTCTTCTTATCACTGATTGTAAACCAGTCGCAATCTGTTTTTCCAATTCAAAACTGTTTTTTGCTTCATTGGATCGGAAAACAGCTTGAAACGATTGACTCGCTCTTATGATGCGCTCAAAGTCAATTGCATCACCCATACGCCGAGAAATGGTTTGGACATGTGTCGCATTGTCGTTCATTGCATTCAAAAAGGTCTTCCATAAAAGCATTCGATACACACTTTGGACCTCAGTCGAACACCAATTTTCATTCAAATATTTTCTGTGTTGAATTCCTTCCTTACCAACGGCTTGAACGTTCTGATTCGCTTGTAAAAGGCCATCAAAATCTCGCGTGTACAACACTTCTCTAAATACACTTTGAGTATCTTCAACGTTGTTTGTGACACCTTTCAACCTTCTTTCAAATAAAGTTTTCTTCATACAGCTCTGGACATCTTGTGTTGCTGAAACAGTTTCCTCATACACAAGCTGTTGTCCCAAGTTTTGTACAAGCACTGTTCCATTCACAACTTCGTCAAAGTACTTTGTTTTGATACACCCCTCCATGACAGTCACACACCCAAATATCGCAGACACCTTCTTCCTCCTCTCTTCCATTCGCTTTCTCTCAACAAAGTGTCTCAAAGCAGATATCAACGAATTCGCAGCGCAGTCGACAAGTGTGGATTTCTGAGTGTAAAAGAACAAGAATGAGAGAACAGATGTCACATACTGGTTATTCCCAACAAAATCCGAACCTTCCGAAAACAAATTCGTTGGCGCGTGAAGTGTTTCCAGCATCTCTTTCATCTCTTTGGCAACTTCTTTTCTTGTTTTTGCTGTATCAGTGTGCTGTTTAATCTTTGGAACGTCAATTTTCAAGTAATAACAGAGGATGTAGAGATATGGCAAGTACAATTGATAGTCGGCTATACTAAACGTTTTCCCATAGTAAGACGCAATCGCATTCGCCCATTTCTCAAACATCCCTTTCGTGGTGTTCAATGTTATTTTGCTCCCGCAGATCTTCGAAATTTCGTTTGACACAACATGAATTGGGACACACAACACACTCTTGAAAGTCAGAAGAAACTGAAATAGAAAGGACGAGAGTGTGATGGGTTCTCTTCTGAACAACATGTAGTCAAAAAACTGTACTCCATTGATTGAAAAAGGCATCCCCAGTTTGGTCATCATCCCTACTATGACATTGAGGTTTTTGATTGTTTGCTTTGCGTCTGGCGCCATATTGAGGTTCTTGACAATATCGACTTCAACGTCTTTTCTCTCTCCAGAAAGGTAGTTTCCTAACACTCCGAGTTCGATTCCTGTTGCCATTAGGTCCGAAATATTCTTGCATGTATATGGCGTGCAATACTGTGGATATTGTCGTTCTTTCACGATATACCCAACGTTGATTAAAGCATCAAAGATGCCATTTGTTGAATCAAACACCATTTCGAGCACTTCTTTGACCAAGTCAGCAGAAGATACGAACTTGGATAACGACCTGAAGAGTCTCACATTACCAACAACGCGATTTCTCCGTAGTAAGTCAAACAACATCATGTACTTTAACACAAAACAGACTCCATTCACACATTTTACTTCAGTGCAATCATAGTTCTTAAATACTTTCATATATAACTCCTTGGCGTTGTCCAATTGATACGGCGCAAGCTCTCTATAACATCTTGAGTAACACACAAACTGTCGTAACATATCAAGTCGGTGTGTTTCTCCATATCTGTCGTAGAAACTTGTCTTCATTTTGAATCTTTTGAGAAATATTTTCGCGACGTGTTCCATCACTTTATCGACCTCAGACGCGTACTGTTGGACAGTAGCTTTTATTGCAACGGTGTTGGACATAACAACTTCGTCCGGCTCTTTCAGCAAATACATTTTGTTGAGTTCCGTCTGAACAGTTTCTTGGAGGACATGTTCCTCGTCTAAATCTGCCAGCGTAGTAGGCTTTACTCGCACATCCATTTTTCTCTTTTTTAAGTCTTCTTTTCTGTTAATTCCTTGGCACTTATCTATTATAGTTTCATTATAGTACTTTTTACTAACGAAAAAAAACTATACATACATGAATATAAACAATCAATAATTCGACAAGACACAAGCAGAACAGTATCCCCTTTATTTCTGTGTACAGATCAGACATTCTTTGTTATATTTAAGGTGACAAGAATCCTCGGGGATTACACATCTCCCATTACTCAGTTCGTATTTGTCTTCACACTTTAAACAACTGAGCCCATCAGTGAACAGACACCCAACAGGTTTTTCAACACAAATGTTGTCTTTTAAAATATACCCATTTTTACACCTTAAACAACTTTCTTCGTAACTGTTGTCACACTTCAGGCATTGCTCTGAAATGCACTTTTCACACTTCCGCTCAGTTATGTTGTAATTGCCTTCGTAACAGATTGTAAGTGGTCCTAAACAACTGAAAGAACTATTCACAAAGACACCAAAAGAGCATTGAGAGCCGTTGAAAGAAAATCCATTGTTAGAGATGACCAGCACTGTTTTCTCCAAGTTATGGACTTTGACATCAGCAATTTTGTATGAATTGATTTTGATTGTGATCAACTTGACAAGGGCCAATGAGCAAAGTACACCATTGACCTCGACAACGTCCTTTTCTTCAATGGCTGTGTCGCTGTCCATTTTCGAATACTTCATTTGACTGGAAGTTTCAAACCCCAAAACAATGTGTGTCAAATTTTCTAAAGGAGTCACAAAGCAATTCCGTCCACTGCATGGACAATAAGGCTCTACATAGGCGTTGTACACATCATTCGTTTCATTCAAATGACAGAAGAACAGTTTTGATTCACCAAATCTCAGCAACGCGTTATTCTGTAACACATGGTACCCTTCAGGGAGTTTGTTTTCGTCGATCAGAGTTGCTGTTGGGAATACTGCAAAGTCGAACGACTCGGTGTAACTGAGAGAAAAGTCGAATAACGTGGTATACCCGGCAACCATCAACGGGACATTTCGCACGCTCCTATTTTTCACTGTTATTTTGCATTTATTCAAAATGGTCAATGCAGTCAAAATGCTTCCAAAGTCTCCAAAGTTCATTTCTGCGTTGACGCAACTGAACGAATTTGTTTTCAATGAAAATTGCGAGTTGTTGGTGATAAGACTTAAAACGCCATTGTTTTTCAATTCAAAACTCCCCGTTTTTAAAACCCCCGCTTTGTTCACTGTAATTCTCCCTTTACTGTTGACATTCACTCCATTGTTTACACGAAGTTTTGCAAAGTCCGTGAATGTTAGAACAGCGGAATTATAGACAACAAAATTGTTCGAATTGACACTTGTGTTATCCCTCAAATGGATGATCGTATTCTCGTCAACCACTTTTAAGAAGTTTGAAGATGTCATGTACCCCCCTATTTCCATGGTTATAATTGTACCATTCGTTATCAATAAAGTGTCCTCAGAACGGACACTTCCATACTCAAATATCAAAGCTCGACAATCAGACAAGACGGTCTGTGTTTGGGACTGAATCGAAGAGGCATCCGTCATATTGATATCAACACTTTGAAGGTCGTTCGTTTGCTTTGCAGTTACTTTTGCACTATCCGACATAATTAGTAACCCCCCTGTTAATGAGGATGTCGTGTCTGATTGTAAAAGTCCACGGCCTATTATAGTGATGTTGCTATTGAGTGACCTCACAGAAGTCCCTCCCAAGTAATCACTAAGTTTAATTGTTGCATTGGCTAGAACCAATTTATCGCTTTTGATCGTTGTGTCTTTAGGAAGAGTAAATTGTGTATTGTCAAAGGACAGCAACTTCACTTTGATTTCTGTGGTGTTCTTCGCAGTGCGAACAGCACACAATTTGGATAATATATCCAAATGATTTGATGAAGCGTCAAACCTATATTCATTTGACTCATTTTCACGGTTTTGAGAATTATCGCCTAGCCCAAATAAAGACAGAACAAAGATCGAAACCACTTCAATGAGCCACATCGTCTTGTTGGTTTTTTAGTTATTTTATTTACTTATTTTGGTTTTAGCTAATTATTTAAAAATATAATTAATTTACTATTACATTTTAGTTTCAATAGTTCCTTGAATAAAAATTATTGTAAAAACTAAAATTTAATTTTTTTCATAAAAAAATTCAGTTCAAAAATAAACATTTATTGTATCAAGTTGTTGAACGATTTTACAATTTTGATTTTTAAGTCATTTCTCATATTAATAGTAAACGATATTATAACATATAGTTTCTTAATTTTTAGAAAAAGTTGATGTGAGCTTTTGGTTCAAAAGCCAAAGTCAAGTTTTTGAGTCTTATAGGTGCTTCAATGTTCTTTGCATTTGGGCACATCCTGACCATCCCAATTTTAACAGTCTTACTCATGACGACCTTCTCAACCTCCTCACAGCTCTGAACTTCCATTTTTGTGAGTTGAGTTAAGTCGTTTGTGTCTATAACTTTCACTTTTCCACACATAGCGACGTTCAAAGAGCAAAGACCTTTAGGAAGTGGGATTTCTTTTGCGTCGGAAAATCTGACTTGTAAATGAGTGAGATTAGACAACGCTGAGATTCCGTTGCATATTTTCCCCGAAACTTTGGTTTGACAAAAGCTCTCTAATTTGTCTTGAATTTCTAAATCTAACACTCGAAGGGAGATTGGAAGAGTCATCGTGTCATTACGTGGCTCATTCATTCTCAAAACAAGTTTAGTCAATGTCAAAATATTTCCCAAATTCACAGGGAAGAGTTCAGGCAAAATGTTATTGTATTTGAGTGACGCCAACCTCTCTAATTTGCAATCTTCAATCTTCTTGGGAAATCTCCCCATCACAATTAATCCAAAAGCATCAATCAAGTCTTCGGGAAGACTTTGTTGAAAAGACGGCAAATATAAGCGGTTAATATCGGAGACATTTGACATTTGTTCCTCAGTCGCATCCTCAGGAACTTGAACTGCAAATGGGGAGTGATACATTGGGATTGTTAAAATTTCTTTCTTCGCAATGGATGAAAGGAGTTTTGGTGACGCGGTATAATCAACAGCGACACGGAAGTTCGGAAGGAGTTTTGTAATTAACAAAACATCCTTCTCGTCAGTCGCGTTGTCCACGTGGAAGACTCCTTCTTTGTTTTCCAACTGCTTGGAAATATTGAAAAGCGTTGATTGATTACTTCGCACGTCGAAAGAATCAAACACGATGTTTCGTGCGGGAAGAACAAATCGTTTGGTGGAGTCGGTTTTGTTCTCAGCCTCGAACACTTTATACATTTCAGAAATGGTATTTCCATCAATGCGCAGCTGTTTGCAACCCTCGAAGTCAGACAAAAAATGAAGCAACTTCTCAGCAACTTCTTTTTGTAATTCAGTTGTGTGGATAGAGAAAGAAACAATTTTACTCTTAATGGTGTTGAGTAACGGGAATGTGTGTAAATCCAACCCTGAGAAACAGGTGATGTTAAACGAAGTGTACTTTTGTGAAGCCTTTTCCCATCGGCTTTCAACAACTTTCCAGAAGTCAAAATCACTAAGACTGTCGTCTGCACTTGTCACGCAAATCGAGAAAATAATCGAGTAAAGCTCACCTGTTAGTTCTGTGACGTTGGGCAGAAGCTTCAACTCTTTTTTGGTTATTGCACCATTGCAATTGATGTTTTTTTGAATGACGTCAAGGGCAGAAGTGCACTTCCTGTTTATGAACGGAAAAGTTTCCAAGTCCTCGACGGAAAGATGTTGTACGATTTGCAGAATTTGTTCAACGTCGAGCATCTTAAAGATTATCAATTTACTAGTTTGGATTTACTAGGTTTTTAATGGTTCATTTTAGTTTAGTTATAGTTTACTGTTAAATTCAATTGTATTTTAAATTGATCTTCGTTGAATTATTTATTATTAAATATTATAAAGTTAAATTTTATTTGTGATTTTTTTAATGCTATTTATTATTTATTTATTTATATTATGACATTTGTAGAAGGTTAAGTTTTATTCAAATTTAATAATTAATTAACTAAAATTAAAAACCAGATAAAATTGGTTTTTGTATAAAAATGCCTTTGTATCAAGTTGAATAATAGTTCTTTTTTATAATTTTTAAACTATATAAGTCAAAGATATCTTTGATTAAAATATAATAATATTCTAGATTATAATATATATTCTAGATTCAATCCATAAACTTTTTCGAACTTACAAAAAATATTTTTATTATTTAAAAAACGGGAATTAGGTAAAAAAGAAAAAAATAAATTAAAAAATTATTTTAAAAATTTTAAAAATTTTTAAAATAACTTCTAAAAAATATTTTATTTGTTTAACTAATGGCTCTAGCTATTTATCAAACAAACAATAAATGTTTAGGGTAATTTATTATTTCTAAGTTTAGTTGATTGATGGTCTTAAAACAATTAAATTGGTCATTTAATAATCTAATTAAAGCTTATTAACTTATCATTCATTTTATATTTATTAATAATAAATTATTATTAAAATTAATATAAATATTATATATAAACTAAAGAATTATTAAAAAAAATGCAGGAAAAAGTTATAATATTATATTAATGAATAATTATAATTAATTTAATTAATATAGCAATTATTAAACCATATTTTACAAATAAAAAATTGTAATTTATTATTTGTCTTAATAAATTTATCAAATTCAAATAATGTAATGTGAATGCCAAAATAAAACTTTAACTTGATTCAAGAGCTCAAAAAAGTTCAATAGAACGAGTAA